TTTAGCGCAAACATAATTCGAACAGATTTACTTTCATTAGCCTTGATACGTCAGTTTCCCAGCCATTTAATGAATTTATTTAAACCTCTTTGGAATTTCAGAGAAGTTGGATTGCGAAGAGGATCCACTACTAGCAGTGTTATTCGCGAAAGTCATGCCGCGATTCTCTTGGCTTCTGCCCTAATTTTCAGGACCGAGTTCAGCAGGTACTTTACCGGAGAAAAATGAATGCCTATAGGGTGCTCAGGGCTTGCAGTGGTCAACGCCATGGTCGAACTAGCTGAATGGCGATGCAACTCCTTGGAATCTCTCTGCTTGGTACCCGGAGCAACCCAGGCCAGGAACGTATCGCAAAAACATCCGGGGGTTTGATTAAACTTCCTTGCAGTGGTCGGTACGTTTCTTGCTCATAACCATTGAGTGTGATTCTGAGTGAGCTCTACAATCCACGCGGCCTGCGAGTCTTGAGCCGTCAGTGAAGAATACCACTGATCTTCGATCCAAAGCTGATACATTTCCCAATTCATTACTATCTGGGCTTTTTGTTGAGAATGTGTTGTCAATCCAGAAAACGGCGGTGGTATAGGAAACCGCTTTCGAAAGTGAAGAAGAAGAAGTAAATTTTTATACGTGTCTTGTACTGTGGTTTCTCTATCGTTGAGTTAAATTGAGCCTTACCACGTTGCTGTAGCAGTATGAAGGGAAGTGTTGGAGATTTTTAAGCATTTTTAAGACAAAGTTTCTGTACAGGTTACTCGTATAGATATGCTGAATTTGTGCCGCCTACCAGGGAATGATTCCGTAGAATAATATGAATCATATTGCAGCGTTGTAAAGCCAGTATGCAATTGAGGGTCTGAGGGTCAGAGGGTCATCTTTTACTGAACGAGTATAAAGTGTGGTCTACTTCTTTTTACCGTAATTCGGTTCCAGGTGAGTTTATTTTCGGACGTATTTAATCTCGATAGCAAGAGTGATCTCATATTTCATGTTTCTCATGTCTCTCATGTTTAAATGCAGATAGCTTGCACCTGCTGATGAAGTTTTTCAATTCGGTCTTGTAGGACTTACATTTTGATTTGAGTACACCACTCCGCCCATGGAGGTAGTTTGTAGTCGATGTGACGGTGAGGTCGTTAACTTCACAATCCTTGTTTCTTCGCTTACGAAGCAACGTGGTAACTGTGGGACAACACAGATGCGGAGAGAGACAACACCTCACTTCGCTTTGCCTTTTATATGCCTAAATTCGCTACTGATTCCACGAAGATTTTTCTGTTTTCCAAGTGAAATTTAACGAGCTTCACGAAATGCTTAAACAGGATAAGACTCGGCACATCTTTTGGGATGGAGAATATTCATGTGGAAACTTCACTTATTTTTATAAACGTCACATAACAGCTTTTGTATTATCCTTGAGAAAAATACAGACGTTTAAGTCTAATTATTTAAATAATTTTCTCTATTCCTTAAAAGGCGCACTTCCAATGCCTTTTTGCGGTTTCGAGGAAAAGTTAAACGTTGCTAATTTTATAAAAATTATTTCAGACATTACGCTTTTTTTTACTTTTGATTTTTCCCTGCCAAGTTGTGGGTGGGAAAATAACAAGTGAAAGTTGTCATGCTTAATTTTATACTTCAACTTTTTTGTCAACTTTCCATGATGAACTTTTTCATGTTTAACACAGCGAAAGTTTGCAGTCGTCTGTCCGTCTGTCTATCACACTATGTGTATGTATGTGTATATATGTATGTATATGCAACAAGCTTGAGCACTTTTTGATGAGTCTAATTACATATAATATGCACTCTGTAAAAGTACTCTGCGTATAATATATATTAAATTGGTATATAAAGTTTACGAATATATTCGCAAGCAACAAAAGCTTTAGTGGTCTGTAACGGCATAAAATGTTCACTTTTGACTTCAGCTTGCAAAATTTGCTTCAAACTTCAAGCCATAGAATCATGTCATAAACAAAGATTTGGTATAACGGCCTCTTAAAATTAATTAAAAAAAATTTTTAATTTACCTCACAGTTTTGTTTTAAGTTCTTTTCTTTTTTTTAATGAGAGTTGAGTTAATTTTATTTACCATATTATTTATATTCATTTATATTTTGTTTTTCTAATTTTTATTTTTTAATTGATTTAATTTCATTTTATATTATTTAACTTTGTTTTATTTAGTTTATTTAATGTTAAATTATTTTTTTTATTTCATTTAATTATATTTTATTTTATTTTATTTTATTTTATTTTATTTTATTTTATTTTATTTTATTTTATTTTATTTTATTTTATTTTATTTTATTTTATTTTATTTTATTTTATTTTATTTTATTTTATTTTATTTTATTTTATTTTATTTTATTTCATTTTACGCAATTCATAAGTAATCAATTCTTTTAAATACAACTCCAGTAAATGCTTTTAATGAATTGAGTGCGTATATGTTAGTTCAAGAGATTAATACGAGCTTTGTATCAGCATATATACATATATGTACATATATTAAATGTTTTTTAATAGCTTGCCATTTATGACGGATATCCCAGTGAATTTAATGGGAAAAATTGCGATGCAAAACAAAAAAGTTTTTAAATAATACCCGCATTCTGGCACAAATTGAGTGTAAGCACATATGTCTACATATACTACATATGTGTAAATGTGAAAATCCCGCCAATTGCACGTACAGCCTACCCTATAACGTTGACATTCACCCCCACAGTGTATATGACTAACTTTTTCTATTATTGTGCATACTTCAAGTTGCACTTCTATACAAATACACTTGGATCAATGTGCATATATACATGCATTCGCACATTTTAATTGCATGCAGCTAACGCAAATGTTTTTTTTTCACAAATCATTTTTTCTAACAACACAATTGGAAATTTGCCATTCTAACTCAAGGATGTCAGCTATTAGGAATAAGCTTTCCTTTTTTCTTTTGAAATCACTAATTGTGAGTGGCTAGGAATTATTTTTTATATTTTATGCGAAATTTCAACGAATTTGTGTTAGTTTTTCAAGTAGTCAATTGCTCTTTCATTGTTAATTGAATTTAAAAAAAATAGTATTTTTTACATCATATTTCTTACTTTTCAAGTATGCTTATAAGTATTTTACAAAGATGCTCGGCTAACGAAACGATGTCATTTCGTTTTGTTATTATGAAAAATAAACTTAACGAAATGATTTTGTTCCCTTTCGGCACCCTAAAAATTGTTAATGTTGAAACGGCACAAACTCATCGTTCAGGTTAAATTTAAAATGGCTGCTTACTATAATATTAACAGCACACTTGAGTTTTAACATTTAACATTATCTGTAAACGATTTAACATTATCTGTTAACGATCTAACATTATCTGTTAACGATTTAGCATTGACGTCAGCTATTCGTTTGTGGTAAAAATTAAACAAAAGTTATTTTGATGGTGCTTTAACAATAAAAATTGCTAAGATCGCTTCAGCGGTTACAAAGCGCCAATTATATATAATATATATATATATTATATATATATATTATATATAGAATCGCTTGGGCGGGCTACTCCGGCGCCTAGAACTGTCCGTCGTGGGGTACATACCTGCCTCTTCTTGTTACTTAATATAACCTCATTTCGCAGCTTCACTCATCAATTATCAACAATAAAGCGCAACAACATTTTATAAGTATAATTTTAACAGTAATTTTTAATTGGCAATTAAGCAAAATATAACTTGTAGAGACCATAGCGAAATGATCATGTTGTTTGTGTTATTGCATAATTAGACTAAATATCAAATATAATAAATTTTTTTTTATTTCTTTCTTTACAGCTCTCAAGAAAGCGTCACAGATTGCAGCTTGTGAAGTTATTATGAAAGCACCGTGAACGAGTGCCAAATATACAAAAAAAAAAATTGAGAAAAAAGTTTAAAGGAACCGAGTCGGTCGAAACAACATATGCACACAAGCAATCAGTATTGGCCTACCGCTCTACTGGTGCCAAGTAATCCGATTAGAATGACAAAAAGTGGAAAATAAGAAAAAACCCAAAATATTCTCGCTCGAACACCGACAGCAATTTGGACTAAATGTGTGTGCGTGTGAAAAGAAACAAGCAGAAGGAAATGCTTCAACGGTTTCCTTTTCACTTTTTTTTTTCTTTGAGTAAAAAATTGGGACTTCAACAACAGATGGTTGCCATGCCGTAAAGTGATGCAACAGCAAAATATATTTATATATACATATATAAAAACAAAAAACGCAAATAAAATGAATGCTTTGACATAAATGTAAGAAGAAGAAGAAAATATCACCTAGAAAAATTATAAATAGCAAAAGCAAGTGATTAAAGCAACAATTTCGAAATTGGTTTTGAAATGGGCAGCAGCAGCAGCAACAACAACAACAACAACAGCAGCAGAATAGCAGAAGCAGCAGCAGCAGTTGGCAATTGCATTTCCAACAACAGCAATAAAATCAACAGCAACTGTCCGAAAACGTCAAAGCAGACGCTGAAAGCAGAACTTACAAAAGGAAATTCATTAGTGCAAACTATTGTTGTTGTTGTTGTTTTTAATACTTTTCAACAACGCCAACAGCAATCACGAGCGGAGCGAACGACGCACGGGTACAGTAGAGTTGAGAAGAAAATTCGTATTGAAGGAAAGTTGCATATTAACAGCGAGCAACAGCAGCAACAGAGCGAGCAGCATCAACAACAACAACATCAATACGAAAATAAACAGCAATTGCAGGTAGTGCAACAACAAAACCAGCTACAGCAACAGCAACAGCAATTACATAATTTGACTGGCATCAAAGCCATTCACTACAACAACAACAACAATAACATTTGCTATCACATCAACCTTTTCATTGTCAACAATACAAGCAGCGATCTCATAATTGCCGTATACGTTTTGGTGCCCATGCGACAACATATGAGTATATGCAACAACAACAACAATACGAACACCAACAACAGCAACACCACATCAATGGTCACGTGGCGTGGCGAAATGAAGAAGAGTAATCGCAGACGGGTTAGCAAGCGTCGTGCTGGCAATAATGTAGGCAACAACAACAAAGCGCTCAATATGGACGACACGTCGACAATTACCGTTGGCAGCGGGTACAACAGCAACATCAATAGCAATAGCAATAACCGTAACTTTGGCAGTCAAACCGGTCGTGCCATTATCTCCGTTGCAACAACAATCGCCTCCACATCCGCTTCAATGGCCATGGCCAATATACCCACCAATCTATTATTACCGCCCAGCAGCAGCAGCAGCAGCAGCATATCCACCACCTCCGGCAGCGGCAACCTTATGACCACCGACATCTTTGACAGTCACATAAATAGCAGCAACAGCAACAATAATTGGTCAATGGATGGCGTTAGTTGGACAACTTTGAATCAATCTTCAGCGACAACGGAGAAAGTGGATTTAATTGAAATGGATTTGGCAAATGAAACGTTTAGGTAAGAACAGACATGAACACACAGGCAAACATAAGCATACCTGCATTTAAGTACATACATATAATATATGATGTACCTAGACAGCTGCTAATATCCGCCGAGAGGCATTGAAATGACATTGAGTTTGCGGAAGATAGGCAACTAGACAGCATGAGAGGTATGTTGATGGGTTCAGAAATGTTGACAGTTGATGATTAATGTAGACAAAGGAGGATAACTGTATAAAGGTTATGAAATGCGGTGTCTCCTTTGGGACAGTGTGTGTCTCACTGTCCAAAGTCGAGGTTTTCATAACTTTCTTGTTGTTAGCATAAATGGTAAACAAGAAGGACAGTCTAAGTTCGGATGGAATCGATCATAAGATATTTGGTAAATTTTTATAAAGAGTGAACCATCTCGAGGTTCCCCACTTTTTTAAAGAAAAAAAATCCCTGCAAATTAAAATTTAATGGAGAATGTTGGACGCGGCTATGCCTTAGACACTCTAGCCGATGAGTAAAATTTACGATAACTCGTTCAAGTATTTCGACTGGCAACAAGCGAGTTACATGCGTGATGTTTTACCCAGAGACCGGCATCATTTTTGAAGGAATGTGGGCTGATGATACCTCCAGCCTACAAATCACACCAAATCATTGTTTTTTCTGGATTAAATTTCAGTTCTTGAATTTTTCTAGGCTGCTCTTCGTACCAAAGGCGGCAATTTTGCTTGTTCTCATACCTATTGAGCCAGAAATGGACCTCAATGTAGAAGAGAATCTTCTTGGAACTTTTCAAGAATGGATAGATCGAAGTGATGTCGCTCGGCAAAACTTTATTATCTATTCATTACCTGCCAAGTTTGGTTTGTTTAATTCCGTAAATATTCGATGTTGAGTCAACTACTAGATATTAGAAGTCATAATCCAGATGTGATTACATTCATAACCACTCAATATGCAGAAGCTAAAGAAATCTAGTGTTCAATGGCAGAAAAGGATCTAGAAACCCAAGTCTCTCTCCTAAGCCGGTAAGCAGTCAAGGTCTTTAGAATATATTCTAAATCTACGTAGACTAAACAATATAAGCCCCAGTCTTAAATCCCCTGCAATGCAATTTCATTTCAAACAATTTAGAAATACTTTAGATAGACTTCTATATAAGGGGATATGCTAGGCAACTGTAAAGCGGACGTGTTTTCGTTAGAAGCAACTTTCTTAATTAATAGTCTGAACAAGCCACGACATTGCACTTCAGGGACGTGGAGAAGGAAGAGAAGGAACATTATCTCTGGTTATGATCAGCACTAAACACCATGCCAGCCAAATTGGAAAAATTTATTACAGCACAGTACTGCTATTCGGAAGACCAATTTTTGACTCCTGGTCCGACCAACATTCAGACATTATAGAAAATTAATTTTTCTACTTGCCGTGGGCAGAATTTGGCAGGAAATGTCAAGCCCTCCGAGTGTATTTCTGACATGAAATAAAATATCCTGATGAAAACTCAGCGACAGTTCAAAGGCGGCTTAGCATAAACTTAATGTTCCTTCATTTGTTTGGAAGAAACATCACGATGAATACCACAAATTAGAGGTGGTTTTCGACTGAAAAACGAAAAAATTTCCCTCTCTCCATTTTTAAAAATTTCTGTTTCTTTCCTTTCCCTTTCCTCATTCTTAAAGGTTGCCGTCTTTATGGCTTCGTTGGTGGCCTGAGTGGCACTGCATCCATAGGAACACTGACTGCCATAGCGCTGGATCGCTATAACGTTGTTGTACACCCGCTCGATCCATTGCGAAAGACAGCCAAGCTCCGATCCGCGTATATCATAACAATAATTTGGATTTACAGTTTCGCTTTCTCCATTGTGCCAGCGCTGGATATTGGACTTTCCGTATATGTGCCCGAAGGTTTCCTCACCACCTGCAGTTTCGATTATCTCGACAAGGAACTGGGACCGCGCATATTTATGTTCTCGTTTTTCATCGCCGCGTGGTGTGTGCCCTTCGGCATCATTTGTTTTTCATATTTCTATATTTTGAAAGTCGTATTTGCCGCCAATCGCATACAATCGAGCAAAGATAAAAATAAGACTGAACAAAAGTTGGCGCTCATCGTGGTGGGCATCATCGGTTTGTGGTTTCTAGCGTGGACGCCGTACTCCATTGTCGCAATGATGGGCGTTTTTGGTAAACAGAAATATCTAACGCCGCTCAGTTCCATGATACCGGCGCTCTTCTGTAAGACAGCCGCCTGCATAGATCCATATTTCTATGCGGCGACACATCCACGCTTCCGCATGGAATTCCGACGCCTATGGCTGGGACGTGGTCATTTGCGTCGAACCTCAACGACACGCTCATCATATCTGACACGTTCATCGACGCGTCGTCTGCGTGTTATTAGCGATGCGGACGTGCGAAATCGTAGTAGTGAAAATATGAAAAAGCAAAATAATTTACAAGCTCTGCAGGAGGTAACGGAGGAGAATGATGAGGTCTATGACTTTTCAATACCGGCTAATTATAGTGATGGCGTGGAGCAGAGCCGATTTTAAGATCACGCTGAAGGGGCAAAAAAGGCGAGAATGTGGTAATACTCAGTGGTTTTGTGAAATATATTTATTTGCAAATATATAAGCACAGATGTACATACATATACATATGTTATAAATAAGTAGGTAAGTTGTGATTAGAAATGCAGAAATTGCAGAAATACATATAAATATGTAGTTAAAGCCAAAACTGACATACATACAAGTAGATTAAGTGCACATGTAGATATTTCTGATTATTTTAGTTGAAATATGTACGAAATGTGAATTGTGACCAAAAAAAATATATTACTGTTATACTCGTCTAAAAAAAAAACCAATATGTAGAATAAATAAGTTAAGTATTGTATATTAGAAGTTAAGGAATTCACTCAAAACAGCAGCTTTTATTGTACATCATAATGAATGTGGACAGACTAATTTAGGGAAACCGAAAATTCAACTTTTTTTTTTGCGTTTTATGTCGCAATATATTTATACGAGGAGATTTTTGGTAATCTACGGAAGTTGACCAGAAAAAAAACAAACAAATTTTTTTTTGTATTTATTCGTAATTTTTGTCCTTTTTTATCTTCTCTACATAATCGTCATTGATTTCAATTCATTTCTAAAGTCTTTAGATCCACTTCTGAAAACAGTCTGCGAAATCTTGCATTTCAAGCTTATCGAGCTCCCCATCAAACGCATTAAATATCTCCTCGTTTCTTTCCATTCCATTTCAATTTTTTTTTTTTAATTTTTGGAAATAACCAGAAATTACAAGGTGCTATATCCGGGGAATATGATGCTGGACGTATTTATTCGATCCCAGAGATCGCAATAAAATTACTCGTTATATCAGCAGTAGGGATGCCGCATTGTCATGATGTAAAAAGTAGCACCGCAAATCCTCTTTCTTCCACTTTTCCAAACAATTTTTCAAAAAGTTTTCTCAGCACTCTTCGGTGTACCATTTTCCAGTGGAATAGCAGCTCAGATTTTAGTTCGGGTGAAGTGAACTGACATCATTACTTTTGCTGCTGATTTTTGTTGCTTAGATTTTATATTTGGACTTGCACTTGTTGTTGGGCTCCATAACATAGACTGGGTTTCTGTATCGTACTTATAGAACCGAGATTCGTCACTAGTCACGACTTTTTTAAAGTTGCTAGACTGACCATTTTCGAATTTGTTTCGCAAAAATTGAGCAAAATGCACTCGAGCCTCTTTTTGGGCCTCATTAAGAATTCGTCGTACCCAGCGAGCATATTTATATATCCCAGATGATTACTTAAGATTCGCGATATAGGGCTATGGGGTGAGTTCAACAAAAGTTCGCATTGATGCTCTGTCAATTTTTGAGTGGCCATCGAAGATGTATGTATGTCATGATGAAACATAAAACTTTTTCAACCTTTTCCATTCAGTTCCAGAGATTCAGTAGTGCTCTTAATAATCTTTACGCCAAGTTAGGTAGTAGTTCATAATGGTCAACTCCTTCCAAGCGCACAATGTATTGTACTCAGTGCAGTTTCGGTAGGGCCACCGGCGAATGAGCATGATTTTGTTTTTCGTTTTATATTCTCTTACCTAACGTATTATTCAACGATTCACGCAAAAATAGTACGACCTCGTCACTTTTAGAGTTGCAGGATGCTCTCACACAGAAATGCCCACTAGCCGAATGTCACCTAATAGGAGAGTAATGTTATGAGCCGAATTTAGCTCTACTGGTACTAGAGAAACTGGCTAGCCTAAGCGTATTCGAAGCCTCATTCGACAATTTTTCGGGTGCCCTGCCAAAAGGAGTCTATACAAACGACAGCGAATTCCACACAGTTGAGTAACCAAAATTTATAATAAAAGAGGCCTGGGCTGCCATACGCATAGGGCGTAACACTGATAAGTTAATATTTTTTAGTATTGAAAACTATAATTAAAGTTTTGTATTGTAATGAGACCATAAATAAGAAATATTTTAGCTTTCAAAACTCCATTTGAGGGATCACGCCAAGCATCTGGGAGTAATTTTGGACAGTAGGCTGATGTGGTAGCAAAATTTAGAGGAAAGGGTGAAATAGGCCTGCTGTGCCCTTGACGAAAGTAAAAAGTAGTCAAGGTGCACAGTCTCTCACGTTGATGTTACACAGCAGTAGCTGTTGTCCGACTGGTGTGGTGCAGCGCTGAAAATAAATTCTCATATAGGAAACTATTGGAGCGGCTCACTGTACTGTGCATAAAGATCCCTCAAACGAAGGTACTTCAAAGGTTGCATCACCCACCTACATGGCTACTAGTCGACATGGCAGTGAAATGTACTGCACCGAAATCTGCCATGAAATTGAAATCCTGCGGTGAATTCTCCGCTAGAGCCTTCGTGCATGGTAGCAGGTAGATGGAGAGCAAACTAGATTACTTACCCACATTTATTCTTTGAAAGAACCAACCGTTACATCTATCAGATGACGCAAGGACATGCGACCCACTAGAAGTATAACATCTACACCCATGGGTATAAAGTGACTGATGGATTGCGTGATGGAGTCTATTGTGCTTGGTTGAGACCTCGGCCAACCCTTCAAGCTTTCAGAGAGCTGCTGTTTATTTCCAGGCGTAGAGTTTTGCTATAGCGAAAGAAGCTTAGATAGATAGTAACGTAGGAAACTATACAAAGAAATCTAATATGTGCACAGCTCAAAAGCCGGGCGGTAATTAAGGGAACATCTCACATTATATTCCGGCAGAAAATGTCCTTAAAGCTTAGAGAAGCGGTAGAGATTGCAAGGTTTCAGCCCTTATAATTGCATATAAGCCAATGTGCTCGTTATTCTAACTTAAAATATTAATTATACGTAAAATTGCGCAGTAATTTTGGAATAGAGAATTTTTTTTAATTTTTTATTATTTTATGTGGATGTATTTTCGCAGTTTAATCCAATCTAATTGCTTCATGATATCTTATATGTGTAAGCTATTTTAGAAATCTGATAATAACTGCATCCATTTTGTAAATATACTCATATACCTATGAGAGTAATCGTTTAAGAAGAGTACCTGCTTATGGAAAATGAACGAATTTATAGTTTCTATTAATATTAGTAACCGCAAAACACGTGGTTTTTGCAATTTGCTAGCGAATATGAATAAATTATCGTTTAAAAATATATACATAAGAATTCATCAAAGAAACACACATACATCCACACACACACATTTTCCATTAAACAAAGAAAATGAAAGTGACAACATAAATACATATATATATATACACAAATGAATATTAAATTGAAAATCAGCATCATTGCTTTTATTCGTGCATATATACTTACATACATACATATTTATGCATTTACAAATATATTTTTAGCTAGAAATGAGTAAACATTTCAAAATTACGAGAATTATGCGAAATTACTTTCGTTACGCTGTTACCTTTCGAAGCGCGCGCCAACTGAAAATGATAAAGGACAATTATTGCGAAAGGATAATATTTACCGTTGTATCCGTGTACCGCATCATATCATTGTTAATGAGCATCAAAAAAAAAATAGTCATAGAAATGCGTATACAGTGGTGGACATTGACATTAGGATGGCTAAAATGTTTACGCTTTACATAAAGTGAGTCAAATCTAATTAAATGAACACAAAAGTTTTAATTAATAATTTAAAATTGATAATAGAGTGTGCTTTTATTAAATATTCAGCTAATTTTAGCTATTTAATTATTTAAATAATCTTTTAATTATTGTTTTGAGTATTTTTTATTTATTTGTTTATTCATCATTTTTTTTAATTTAATATATTTATTTATATTTTTATTAATCTATTTATTTATTTATTTATTTCTTTATTCATATACGAGTATTTAGTTTTTAACATATTTAGTTTATTAACTAATTATTTATTTATTTATATATATTTTAATATTTTTTCTTTACTTATCTTATTTTTTACTTTTATATTGTATTTAATAAGTTTTTATTGTTTTATTTAGTTATTTTATTTATTTAATTATTTAATAATGTTTCATTATTTATTTTATGTAAATATATTTATTAAATTATTAAAATTTTATTTTTTATATATCTTTTTATTTACTTTAATCTCATTTATTTTAATTTTTTTGTTTATTTAGTTATTTAAATATTTTTTATTTTATATTTTTTATTTAGATAAATATTTCAATATTAAATTTTTATTTACTTATTTATTTATTTTATTATTTAGAAATTTTTAATTATTTAGTTTTAGATTATCTGTATATATTTTTTATTAAATTCTTATTTATCTATTTATATATTAATATTTATTTATTTTTAAGTAGTCTCATTTATTTATTTCTTTTATTTATTTAATTAATTAATCCCTTTTTATTTATATACATATTTGATTAATAAATTTTTATATTTTTATTTATATATCATTTATATAATTTTGAATTATTTAATTAATAATTTATTTATTTATTCATTTGTTCATATTAATTTTTTATAATTTTGAATTATTTAATTATTAAATTTTTTATTTCTTTTATAATAGTTTATTTGCTTCTCTATTTCCTTATTGTCTTATTTGTTATTAAACATTTATTTTTAATTATATATTTATTCGTTATTTTTTGTACAGTATAAGGTTACGAGAGGTTAGGTTGAAGTGGTTGCTGAATATCAGCTTACTTTGTCCTCCAAAGCGCCTCTCTGCAATACCAGCTGTTTTGTTGAAGTCTCTCATTGTTGTCGTTCCTTGAAAATTCAACATCCTATCTGCAAAACCTGCAGATGTCGTTTGATAGTATTCCTGCCTCGCTGCGTGCCTGCCTTATATAAGAAGTGTTGAACAAGATCCATCATTGTGAATATTTTCTTTAATTTTGACGAAATAAGCTCTAATGAGGTTCTTTATTTTCATATCCATCAATTAGCTCCCTCTTTTTGTGATCTTACAAGCGGAGAGCGATTTGCTCAGACTCTTCTATGATGACGAAAGTGGAAGAGAAAAGATTTTCTTTGCAAGCTCTTCCAACATCTTGTTACCCTGTGTTGCTGTTCCCTGG